AGTGCATGCAGACCCACAGTGGGTGAGGCCAAGTGCATGCAGACCCATGGAGCGTGCATTCCTGGGGAAGGTTCATCTAGAGGGTAAATGATGCAAACAATCAGAGATTCCCCTCCCAAGTACAGTGGAAAGACTCCCAAAAAGAACCATGGCAGTGCAGACCATGACATAAAAAATAGAAAACACAGTTATCTAATCCAAACGCAGAAACGTTTGACTCCCACTGCATTGAGCTCTCTGGCCATACAGTCTGCCTTCTTGGTTCCAGCATTTCTGTTGTACCTCAATATCCTTTTCTTTGTTCCCACCATCCTCCTTTCATTTCCCCTGCATTATGGCCAACGCCAGTAATTTCTTGATTCTATCCTTCTCCTTTCTTTCCTTTGCTTTCTCAGTTTGTTCTCTCCTGTGCCTTGCCTCGGCCTGTGCCTTTCCCAGGCTTCTCCCCCTGGCTCAGCTCTCTCTGATCTTGCAGGCAGCTCCCCTGCCTATGAAAATCCCCGTTTTAAAACTTCATTTTTTCCTCTAGTTCCTCCAGTCTCAACCAATGAAACCCCTGCTAAATACAAAAACCAATGGCGTCTACTGAATGCTCTTTTCCAGTCCCATTTGCAGCCCCCGAGGCTCCCAGCCGCTGCCTGCAGGCTATCGGGTTTCCTGGATCCCTGCAGATAAGGGCATTCTTGCTTCCATTGCATTCTTCCCCACCTCCCAGATGAGGCACCGTTTTACAGCAGGCTTTGCAGCGGCTCTCCAGCGGCTCTGTCTCTGAGCGCCTTGCCAGCTGTGGCCGGGGGTTTTTGGGGGGTGGGAGTGTGTGGGGTAGGGCTGTTTCTTGTTCCAGTGCCCGTCTGTTCTGCAAACTGCAACCCATCACAACAACCTACGAACACTTTTAATACACTTCATGCTTTTCAGCATGCACTGCGACACACAGACGCTGCTGCAGCTACAAAAGTAAGATAAAGCTTGACCCAGCATGCAGATTCACCACCACAGGCAGACAAAAATAAGCAAGCAGCTCGGCGCTCACACATCCACGGTCACAACCAAATCCACGGCGCCAGCCTCCATAGGGCAGCACAATCAACAAGCGCTTCAGCTCCTCGTGGGCACCATGGATCTCAATCACCATGTTACTTGTGAGAAACATGGAGCCCGGAGGCCCTTGAATCCCTCCGGAACCCCCTGTAACAGGGACTCAAAGCCCGTTTCTCCTTGGGGCTGTTCTCAAGCACCCCCTCACCGCGTTTCTCCCAGGAAGCACAGGCTGCTCACGCACTCGGGATGCCTGCTGCTCGGCTGTGGGCTCCCACTCGGGGATCCCCTTGGCTCTGTGCAGCTGATGCTTCTGTCTTGCCTTACTGGCAGCGATTAAAAGGAGCGCCTCGGCTATTCCGGGGAGCCTGCAGCCAGACCCAGCACGGCTCAGAGTTACCCGAGAATCACTTGGTGTGTGCACTCAACTCAGCTCCTCTCTGGTCCTTCAGTGGAAGAGATTTCGGTCACAGTGCCCCATCTGGGTGGGGAAGAAAGCTCTCTAACTCCTGTGCGGTGTCAGAAAGTGGCGCAGCCTGGAGGTAAAAGCCAGCTGCAGCTCAGACTAGCAAAACTGCCCCGACCAGTTTCCTCCACAAGCGAGCCACTGTGTCCCTTGCTCCCCCCTCTGCCCTTCTTTCTTTCTCCTGCCATTGGCTGTGGCTCCGGGCAGCCTGATCTAAAGGTTGGTGACCCTGCACAAAACAGGGGGGTTGAAACCAGATGATCATTCGGGTCCTTTTCAGCTGTCAGCGCTTTACGGGCTGCTTTGTGAGCAGCGGGGTGGAGGGATCTGCGGATCTGCGCCTCTGGAAAAGGGAAACAGGGACCCCAAAATAACTGAAAACAGTGGCAACAACCTGAGGAAAAACAAACTGATTTACTAAATACAGTATTAGAATACAAGATAACACACCATAATGCAATATAATCAGAATTGAAGCTAATAAATCAAATATAATGAGAGAGAGGATGTCTCTTGTGGTTTTTAGCAACCCACTGTAGCGTTCAGTTCTACCAGAGGCTGGTGCATGGTAGGGAATATGATAAATGCACTCAATGCCATGATCTCTGGCCCAAGCATTTACAGGAGCATTTTGAAATGAGTCCCATGATCTGATCAATCCTTTCTGGGGTGCCATGTCGCCACAGGACTTGTTTCTCGAGACCCAGTTGGTGTTTCGGGCGGTAGCATGGGGTACTGCATATGTTTCAAGCCACCCAGTGGTTGCCTCCACCATGGTGAGCACATAATGCTTACCACTGCGAGATCGTGGCAAGCTGATAGAATCAACCTGCCATGCCTCCCCATATTTGTACTTTTGCCATCGCCCTTCCTCCCAGAGAGGTTTCATTCTCTTGGCTTGTTTGATGATGGCACATGTTTCACAGTTACGAATAACCTGTGCAATGGCATCCATAGTTCAGTCCACCCCTCGGTCTCTGGCCCATTTGTATGTTGCATCTCTCCCTTGATGGCCTGAAGTCTCATGGGCCCACCGAGCCAGAAATAATTCACCCTTGTTCTGCCAGTCCAGGTCTATTTGAGCCAACTCAATTCTGGCAGCTCGGTCTACCTGATGGTTATTTTGTTGTTCTTCAGTAGCCCGACTCTTGGGCACATGAGCATTTACATGGCGCACCTTGACAACCATATTCTTTATTCAGGCAGCAATGTCTTTGCACAGCTCAGCAGCCCAAATAGGTTTACCCCTTCTTTGCCAGTTATTTTGCTCCCACTGCTGTAACCACCGCCATAAGGCATTTGGTACCATCCATGAGTCAGTGTAAAGACAGAGCATTGGCCACCTCTTTCCTCCTCTTTCTTCTCTTCTGAGTCGAGATCCGTTTCGTTTTCCATCCTCTTACAGGGGCGACTGACATCAATGGTGGTGCCTCCTGTGGTTTTGGTCAGGCTGGCCAGTTCCGATGCTCTCACCGTCCAGCTCCATGTGGAGTCTGTCTTGTTCGACTATGAGAGTATTTAGTTCAGTTTGGAGGGCATCAAGTTTGGACTGAAGGGAGTCTCACCCATATTCGAAGGCATCTTGTCGAGATTGGAGATTCCTTTTCTCAGCTCGGAGATTCTCCCCTTTGACTCGGAGACTTTCTTTCTCAGCTCAGAGACACTCCTGCCATGTTTTGAGCTTCTCTCTCCTGGCTAGGAGACTCTTTCTCAACCCGGAGATTCTCTGTCTCGCCTTGGAGACTCTCCCTTTGGATTTGGAGACTCTGTTTCTCGACTAGGAGACTCTCTGGGATTGCAGGGAGTCTCTCTCGCTTTGGAGGGCATCTCTCTCGGAGTTGAGGACATCCCTCTCAGATTGGAGGCCTTTTCTCTCAACCAGGAGACTCTCGCTCAGCCTGGAGATTCTCCCTCTCAGCTCTCAGACGCTCTCTCTCAATTTCACAAGCTCCCTCCCTTTTTGGGATACTATTGAATAAGGCCCGATCAGCATTAGCCAGGCCCCAAATCATTTGTGACTCCTCAGATCTGCCTGAGCCGCAACGTTCCTGTCTCAAATAAATGTTTAAGCTCTCAGGGTCTTTCAGGTGTTCAGGAGTAAAGTTCCATGGCACCGAAGATGTCCATCTCTCTAAAGTCTCTCCCAAGCCTCTCCACACCCCCTGCCACTCAGAATTCCCTGGTTCTGGGGAAGGCTTCCTCAAAATACAATAAATACAAAACCGACTGCAATGATGAACAGTAAATTCAGGGAGATTAACAACGCCATCAGGTGAGCATTCGAAAACTGCATAAAGGATTCAAAGGAGAGACTGGGAGCCTGCTTAAAAATCACAAGTTATGCAAAATTAGCAGCTCCCTCTGCAAGCAGGATTAGAAGAGAAAGCAGGATCATTTTTTTCCTCTCTTTACAGAAGCAAGATGGCAGTGCTCCAAGTTTACAATTATCATAGGAACGCTGGAACATTGGCAGTCTGCCTGGACTTTCAAGGTCAAGTTTTCAGTAAGCACCAGTGAAAAAGATAAACTTTCCCGATGAAGCTCTCTGAGAGCAGAGATTTGTTCTAAAAAGCTACAAAGCAACTCGCTGCCTGCATTCTCCACCAAGAATGTCAGCGGTTTACAGGCTGCTCCGGCCCGGTTCTGTGACCAGCGGGGCAGAGGGATCCATGGATCTGCGCCTCCGAAAAAAAAGGGAAACAGGGACACCAAAATAATTGAAAACAGCGGCGGCAATGATCTGAGGAGAAACACACTGTAATACAATATAATCAGAATTGAAGCTAATAAATCAGGTATAATGAGAGAATGTCTGCAAGGTGGACCAGCCTCAGCACAAGGCTGAGGTGAGAGGCGCAGTGCAGCTGAGCCGCGGGGAGATGGGAGCAGCGAAGGGGAGGCAAAAAGGAGCATCAGGAGACCTTGCCAGCAGTCAAACCTCCTCTCCCTGACCGCCAAGCCCCCTGGGGAATGCAGCTCTCCTTCTCTTCTGGGCAGGTACCCAGGGCTTGAGCACTAACAGCTCAACTCCCAGTGCCCCACATGATGTTGTGATGTGGAATGCCGAAAGCCAAGAGTCACAAAACCATGACAGCAAGTCACAGCACTCTTCCTCTCTCTGTCTCTTGCTGCCTGGCCATGCGTCGGTTTGCGTCCTCATTTTATTTATAAGCCTCAGTTCCAATTGTATATTGTATTGCAGTGTGTTGTCTTGCATCCCAATATCTCATGCAGTAAATTAACTCTCCTCCTCAGATCGTTGCCGCTGTTCTGTTTTTAGGTCCCTTCCCCCTTTTCCCCTCCCTTTTCCCAGGGTGAAGATCCGTAGATCCCCAGGCTGAAGCAGCCTGTAAACGGCTGACACCCTTGCCTTGCCTTGCCTTGCCTTCCCTCCTCTCCCCTCCCCTCCACTCCCCTTCCCTTCCCTCCGCTGTGGCCTGATGTCCCCCCGTCACGGAAGGCTTACCAGCCCAAAAAAAGGGGAAGGGAGAAGGGGGAAGGTTGGGAGAAGGGAGCTGGGCCCATAAAAAACAGAACAGCGCCAACGATCTAAGGAGGAAACTTAATTTGATATCGGATTGCTAGATAACAGAATACAACACAATACAATAGGAATTGAGAGCAATTAAATAAAATGAGAGAGAGAGAGAGAGAGAGATAGAGTGTCTGAAATCAAAGGCCCTACTCTGATTTGAAGGCTGGGGAGCTCTGGAGAGCCTGGAGTGCTGCAGGCTCTGCGTCCTGTGCAGACAGCTAACGAGGCTGGATGGTTCTCACAAAACTGGGGCGCTTCTACAGTCTGCCTGCTTCGTGGACGCATGCGTGGCAGCTGAAATTAGAACTGCTCTTGAAGCTCTCCCCGCACTCGAGACACTTCAAGGATTCCTCTCCTTTGTGGACGCCCCGGTGGCGCTTCAACGCAGAAATGCTTTTGAAGCCCTTCCCACACTCGGAGCACTTAAAGGGCTTCACCCTCGTGTGGATGCGCTGGTGTATGGCGAGGTTGGAACTGCTTTTGAAGCCCTTGCCACACTCGGGACACTTAAAGGGTCTCTCTCCGGTGTGAACGCGCTGATGGTAGGTGAGGTAGGAATTCCTCCTGAAGCTCTTCCCACACTCAGAGCATTTGAAGGGTCTCTCTCCGGTGTGGATGCGCTGATGGTAGGTGAGGTAGGAACTCCTTTTGAAGCTCTTCCCACACTCGGAGCACTTGAAGGGTCTCACCCCCGTGTGGATGCGCTGGTGCACTCTGAGGTCGGAACCGCTCTTGAAGCTCTTGCCACACTCAGAGCATTTAAAGGGTCTCTCTGTGGTGTGAATGCGCCGATGGAAAGTGAGCTGGGAATTCCTTCTGAAGCTCTTGCCACACTCGGAGCACTTAAAGGGCCTGTCTGCGATGTGGGTGCGCTGGTGCACCCTGAAGTCGAAACTGCTTTTGAAGCTCTCCCCGCACTCGAGACACTTCAAGGATTCCTCTCCTTTGTGGACGCCCCGGTGCTGCTTCAATTCAGAAATGCTTTTGAAGCCCTTCCCACACTCGGAGCACTTAAAGGGCTTCACCCCTGTGTGGATGCGCTGGTGTATGGCGAGGTTGGAACTGGTTTTGAAGCCCTTGCCACACTCGGGACACTTAAAGGGTCTCTCTCCGGTGTGAACGCGCTGATGGTAGGTGAGGTGGGAGCTCCTTTTGAAGCTCTTCCCACACTCGGAGCACTCATAGGGTCTCTCTCCGGTGTGGATGCGCCGGTGCACAGCGAGCTGGGAACTCCCTTTGAAGCTCTTGCCGCACTCAGGACACTCGTAGGGCCTCTCTCCCGTGTGGATGCGCTGGTGCACCCTGAGGTTGGAACTGCTCTTGAAGCCCTTGCCACACTCAGAGCACTGACAGAGGTTCTCTCTCGCGTGGACTCTCTGGTGGAACTTCAGCTCGGAATGACTTTTGAAGCTCTTCCCACACTCGGAGCACTGGAAGGGCCTCTCTCCTGTGTGGACGCGTTGGTGCACTGTGAGCTGGAAAGTCCTTTGGAAGCTCTTCCCACACTCAGGGCACTGGAAGGGCCTCTCTCCTGTGTGGACGCGCCGGTGCTGGGTGAATTTGGATCTCCATCTGAAGCTCCTTCCACAATCAGAGCACTTGTACTGGCTCTTCCCAGAGCGCTTGCGCTGGCGGTTAACAAGGTTGGCACACCTTTTAAGGCTTTTCCTACGCAACACACGCAGGTTCAGCTTCTTCTGGCCCGCTTCCTTGCTCCTCAGGTCTTCAGTCTGCTTTGGACCTGTGCTGAAATCCACAGGCTTCCTCGGGCTCTCTCCTGGATGCTTTCCCAGGGGCTTCTTGAAGCGCCCCGCTTGCTCCAGGCGCCCCTGGACATCCTTTCTGATCCTTCCCACGGAGCCACGGCCTCTCCGCCTTTTGGCCACACCACTTTTCTGCAGACCCTCCTTTAGATTCGTGATCTCAGCTCCTGCTGGATGACAGAGGAAATAGAAAAGTACCAAGCGGCACCCCTAGCATTCCCCCACCAGAGAGGGCTTTTGCAGCCCTAACCTCCTCCTTCCCTCCACCACCTCACCTGGGCTGAGTTCTGACAGCGCCTCAGGGCTGCGCACATCTGGGATGCAGGGGTTGCCCCCTCTTTCAAGCAGGGAGATCACGGCGGGTTTGGGGGCTGGAAGTGGACCTTCAACGATAGAAACAGCGCAGGTGAGAGCGCTGCCACCCCTCTGGCACAGTCCTACAACTCCGCTCTGTGTTCCTCCACCATTGAAACCACAATTGTGCGAAACCTAACTGACGCCGGCCCATCACACGCTGCCTTCCGCTGGAGCCCAGCATGACTCTGACATCACCAAAAATTATTTTTTTTGGAAATACTTCCTTTAAAATTGCCTTTGAAAGGATTTGATCATTTTCACCCCAGTCCCTCAATGCCAAAGGCATCAGAAAGCTTCATGGGAGCTGAACAGAAAACTTTCTAAAGGAGTAACCGGGGTCAGCACTGTTATGCTGCAGCTGGAGGCACAAGAGCTGTTTGCAGGGAGCTCATCCTCCCCCTCCGAGCTGATGTCTGCTTGCCAGCAGTGACTCTGGGGCTTTTATCAGAATGCACTAATCCCTTCTGAAACTGCTGCTTCGGTTTCCTTTGCTCTTGTTATCAGCGTGTTGGTCAATAAGTAACTGCATGGTAGAATATGCCCTGCTTGCAGAGGGTGGCCGTACAGCCAGAGGTGCCCTAAGGAGGAGGAAAGGCAGCAGAGCCCTCACCCAGCGAGGCCAGGCACTGGTACGTCTCCAGCATCACGTCCCGGTACAGCGCTCGCTGCGCAGGGTCCAGCAGCACCCACTCCTCCCTGCTGAAATGCACGGCCACCTCCGCAAAGCTCACGGGCTCCTGCAAGCAAAGAGGCTCCTTGCTGAGAGCAGCCAAGGCCCGGGGAAGCAGCTCGCAGAGGACGCAAACTCCAGCCCCAGCCCTTCTCCATCCCCAGCACACACACGCTGGCTGAGGCCACCTCCCTCCCCCCCTGCATTCACATCCCTCGCCCTTTGCCCTCTCCTGCCTGCTTCCCCAGCCCCTACCTGAGGTGGCTGTGCTGAGGCCATCTGCTGCTCTCCTGTAGGCTGGGATGGTCGCGGCTGGAAGGCAGGAGTTGAACTGGAGCCTGCAGGGAGAAGACAAACGGCAGGAGAGCTGTGAGGGAACGCAGCAGCCCCTGCCCAAGCCCAGCCCTCCCCAACCCATCTGCAGGGCACTTGCACAGGAAGACAATCAGCAACAGCACTGGTGAAACTCTGGCTGGAACAGATGAACTAGCACAAACTGGGGGCCTGAAAGAACTGAGAGCAGACACCGAGGCAACAAGTGAGGGGCGAATGCGCGTGTCACAGAGTGGACTGGATCCACCTACGTCCGTGACGGGGGCGTCATGGCGGTGGCTTAAAGCGTGGGTAGTGTTGTTTGTGAATCAGCTATTCCGTTAGGGATGGAGCTGTTTGTGAAATAAGCCGTTCCTTCGGGGATGTCCAAATTCAAACCACACCACTTTGCATATGGGTAAAATATAGGCGTCTCCACCAGTGCCATCGGGTAGCCATACACGGATGCAATTCCACAGCACATAAATATGAGCTGGATTATTGGCCAGTAGGTTGTGAGTAACGCCATTGCTTTTAATCCTTTATGCAGCACCCCCATGATAACGAGTTCATCACTGGTGCCTGCTAAAAAGGGGTTAATGAATTGCAGCTAACGAGAGGAGGGGAAAAAAAGAAAAAAGGCCCTACCCAGACTGAGCAGTGCTCTAAGTTTACAAAGATCCCAGAATGCTGGCAGCACGCCTCATCTTTCAAGGTCAGGTTTTCCAGCACAGAAACCTGAGCTACTGGTAATGCTCCTTAATGAAGCTCTCTAAGAGCAGAGAGAAGAAGAGATTAGTTCTAAAAGCTAAAAAGCAGCTCTGCCTGCATTCTCCACCAAAATCTGTCACACCATTGACCAGATCAGTCGATGTCCGTGACAGGGAGGTGACAGGCCTCTGCCCTCCCCCCCCCACCCCAGTGCCACAAAAATGGGAAGGAAGGAAGGGAAGAAAAGAACAGCGGCAACAATCCATGGAGGAAAACTTATTTTACTATAATACTGGAATACAAGATAACAAAACACAATACAATCTAATTGAAATTGAGATGAATAAATCAGACAAGATGAGAGAGAGTTCCCGGGACCCAGTCAAACCTGAACAGCTTGGAACGGCCAGGAAAGCACCTCCAGCACCCACTGCAAGGCAGCCAAGAGAGTGACCCCCACCCGGCAGGGCCAGATCCCGTGACTGCTGTAATGCACAGGGATGGGTACTTGGAATTGAGGCGTTAACACTTCAATGCCCCGTACACTGCACGATGTTTTGATGTGGAATACTGAAACCCCAAATAAAAAAAAAACAAAAAACAGAACCATGACAGTGCATCAGACCACAGACACAGCATGGCAAGGAGTCGGTCACCTTACCCCAAACGGATGGCAGCCCAAGTGCCCCTGCAGTTCTTGTGCAGCAGCAGGCTGCACAGCAGGATCTCCCTTCGACCAGAGCTGCCTCCCAAGGTCCTGCACTGAGATCTCTTGCACCCTGACGTGAAAACGCCTCGCCGACGCTGATCTTCTGCAAGAGACGCGTGGTTACACTGAAGCTTTGAGAGCTTCTCTAGGGTTATTTCTTAGACTGGCATACGATCCCATAGACATCAGCCCTGATCAAGACCTGGCACAGCAGTGGATCCGCCTGCTGCAAAGGCTCCTTGCCTTTGTGCTTCTAGTTGAGAAAGCAAGGTCAACCCTGAGCCTCGTGACTGAACAGCAGGGCCGTCTGTAGGTGCGTGTTAACCCTGTGCAGCAAGTAACCGAGTGGATTCAGCCGTCTCCACTCCTGTCAAGGTGCTGTTAAATCACTACAGCGTATCTGTATTACATTAATAGAGTCCTGCATCCCTCTCAGGAGCATGTATTGTGTTTGGAGCCACCCGTGACAACCATTTGGGGCCACACAAGGATGAAAGGCGAGAGGTGGTACCTGCAAAACGCCAAGTTTGGGAGTTGCAGCACGAAGCAAAGGAGAACTGAAATAAACAGGAGCAGGGGACAGAAACTAAAGCAAAGGAAAATCAGTCTGAAGTATTACGGACAAATGTCTGAAAGCGGAGTGAGCGATCCTGCAGAAAACCAAAGAAGCAAACAGAAAACATGAACCCCGGGCATTCCTAGGGGCGTTGTTCTTAATCAGCCTCCTGCCATTATTTTCAGCCTAATTGCAGTGTTGCAGATGCTGGCTAAGAGTGAAGGAAAGGAGAGCATTTCAGCTCCTGCACTGTCAGGGCCAGCAGAGAAAGGAAAGCGGCTTCCCAGCTCCCCTGTCTACCACCAGCAGAGGAGCAGCAGGGCCTGAGCTCAGAACAAAGGATGCCCAAAGGCTTTGGCCGCTCCTGCCCCAGGAAAAATGATCTGTGAACGAACGGCGACAGCCACACGTTCATGTTAATGCCAGATATCATACGGACCACCTGGGAAAGCCTTTTTCATAAACAGCCAAACACAAATGTTGGTGCTGACCCAATTCCACTCCAGGAAGCTGGGCGTGCAGTTCAGACAGCAAGGAGTTAAAGCTGAAATGGGACAAATCGTTGTGTACCAAATCTGGCTTCCGGACCAGAAACGCGCGCCAAACGCTCCTCTGCAATTGTAAACCATCCTGAAAAGCACTCAGGTCTCAGTGACTGAAATGGACGGCCTTGGGGCCCGCTCCTCCGGTCCAAACACTGATCCCAGCCCCAGAGAAACAGGGAGACGGCAGCGCGTCCTCTGCGCCCTCCTCCCCGAATGGAAACCCTCAGCTCCATTTCTGCTGCTGCATGGGGTGGGAGCTGCAATGTTCCTGCTGTCACCCACCTGCCTCTATGGCACACAGACTGAGCTCCTTGACTCCACAAAGAAACGCTGTAATTAAAGGACCTTCCTCTGAACAGGTGGTGCAGCAGCAGCAGCAGCAGCACGTCTGCTTATCATCTAAGCTAGCTGCAGGCCAAGAAACTGGAGAAATGGGAAAAAGGAGTTGGTCCCGGCGGTAAAGCAAGCGGAGAAATACATCAGGGACAGCCTGTGCCACCTCGGGGGGCTTTGAACTGCCTGGAACCACCAGGGAGACGGGCTGCGAAGAACTGCTAGAAAATGGTAAAGAGAAAATCGCCAGGGAAGTGCAGAAAAGCACCCAGCTCATTGGGTCTCCAGCTCATTGAGTCCCCAGCTCACTGAGCACCCAACTCATTGAGTCCCCAGCTCGTCGAGTCCCCAGCTCGTTGAGGAACGCTCTGAGCTCAGCCCCCCAGCGCAGACCCAGCTGCCAGCAGCGCAGCCTGCTGGAGCACCGCCTCCACCGCCGGTATGGAAGCGGGCAGGGCACGCAGCCCTCGGGGAAGGCAGCGCCGGGACGCTCCTCCGCTCCGCTCCTCCTGCAGATGGCAACGCCGTGCCCACGGTGGGTGACGCGCTGCGCCCCGCTCGTTCTCACCTGCTCTGCTGGCAAGAAGTCGGCCGTTCTCCTGGCAACGGCACCGACGGCTCCGTCTGTGCGCAGAGCGGCCCGCAGCGCTGAGCGCCGTCACATCCCGGCAGCAGCAGCCTGGGAGGTGACAGCGCCGACGGCGCCGCTCGGAGCGACCTTCAGCGGGGGAGGGGAGGGGACAGGAGGGGAGCGTGGGGGACACGGAGCAGCGGAGCCCAGCAAAGGTCGAGCCCCGTCCCGTCGGAAGGCAGCCGTCCGTGGCCGTGACGGAAGAGGAGTTCCGGGCTCGGTCGGGCTGCCTGGACCGGGCCGCCGGGCGCAGCGGAGCCGCCGCCGCGATGAGGCGGGGCGGGGGGCGGCCGCAGGATGGGCTGCGCTGCGCTGCGTGCCGCGCTCCGGGGGGGCGGCCGTGGGCTCTGCGGCGAAGCGCTGTGCGGGAAGCCTCACAGCCGGAGCTTTCGTTGCTCGTGAGATTTCCAGCCCGCAGTTCGTGTCTGGGATGAGCGGAGGCGATGTTTGCTGAGCCTGGGCGGAGACGAGATACCCCCCCCCTTCCTTCGCTGCTGTAGTTTCAACTGAACGGTGTGGGCTACTTAACGAACAGCGTTGCTGATGATAACAACGAAGGCGTGATGGATTTATCTGTTTTTGTGATGGCGTAACCCGTCAAGAATTGAAGTGATTTGGGAGTAAAAGTGGTGTAAATGTGGGAGGAAATGTGGAGCAACGTGAGTGTAAATATGGACTGAATGTGGGTTAAATTGGAAGTAAACGTGGAGTAAAGGGGGAGTAAATATGGGAGAAAATATGGGGTGAATGTGGAGTGGATGTGATGTGGGAATAAACCTGGAGCAATGTGGGAGGAAATGTGGAGAAAACGTGGAGTAAATTGGAAGTAAACGTGGAAGACAATGTGGAGTAGATGTTGAGAACTGTGGGTGAAAATGTGGAGTAAATGTGGAGTGATGTAAATGTGATGTAATTTGGGAGTAAGCCTGGAGTAAAATGGAGTAAATGAGGAGTAAATGTGGAGTTAAGTTGGAGTCAATGTGGAATAAATGTAGATTCTTTTGGAAGTAAATATAGAGTGCAGTGGGAGTAAAGGGGGAGTAAATCCGTAGTAAAGTGGGTGTGAATGCAGAATGAACTTGGAGTAAAACTGGAGTAAGGGGGGTGTAAATGTGGAGCAAAGGGGACGGATCCAGGATGGGGGTGTGAATGGGGAGTGAAGTGGGAATAGGAGGAGTAAAAGGGGGGTAAATCCGGAATAAATCCGGAGTAAAGAGGGTGTAAATGTGGAGTAAAAGGAGTGGGTCTGTGATTGGGAGTGTAAGTGGGGGTGGGAGCTGGAATACACTGGGAGTAAATCCGGATTAAAGATGGAGTAAATCCGGAGTAAAGTGGTGTGAATGCGGAATGAAGTGAACCTGGAGTAAAACTGGAGTGAGGGGGTGTAAATGTGGAGTAAAGGGGGTGGATCCACGATGAGAGTGAGTGGGGAGTGAAGGGGGGGTGGGAGGGGTAAAGGGGTGTAAATCCGGAGTAAATCCGGATTAAGGAGCTGCGGGATTCGCTCCACATTGAAGAGGGGGAACTCAATTGCCGGCGGAACCACCGCGCTCGATATCCGTTTCCCGAGAGGACCAACTTCCGGTCTAGAAGCCACTTCCGCCCTCATTTCTCCCATTGCGGTAAAGGGTAAGAAGGGCGCGGCCGGGACATAAGCCACGCCTTCCGTTTCCGGTTTCTGACGCACAGTGGTGACGTCATTTCTGCGCCGCTTCCGGCGCCGCCGCCATTCCTGTCTCTGGACCGGCCCGGCCCCACCGGAACCGCCCGCGGGGTCGGGCCCGGATCCGCCATGGCTGAGGACTACCGGGACCGGGAGAGGCGCTGAGGCGGTAACGGAGGCAGCGGGGGAACCGGGAGCAGAGGGAAGGAGGGACCGGAAGCATCACTGAGAAACGCTGGGATCCATTGAGAGCCATTGAGACCCATTGAGAGCCATAGGGACCCCTAGAAATCCCATAGAGAATCATAGGGACCCATAGAGAGCCCTAGAAATCCCATAGAGAATCATAGGGACCCATAGGGAGCCCTAGGAATCCCACAGAGAATCATGGGGACCCATAGAGACCCCTAGAAATCTTATAGAGAATCATAGGGGCCCATAGAGACCCCTAGAAATCCCATAGAGAATCATAGGGACCCGTAGAGACACCTAGGAATCCCACAGAGAATCATGGGGACCCATAGAGAGTCCTAGAAATCCCATAGAGAATCATAGGCAGCCATAGAGAGTCCTAGAAATCCCATAGAGAATCATGGGGACCCATAGAGAATCATAGGGACCCATAGAGAGTCCTAGAAATCCCATAGAGAATCATGGGGACCCATAGAGAATCATAGGGACCCATAGAGAGCCCTAGAAATGCCATAGAGAATCATGGGGACCCGTAGAGACCCCTAGAAATCCTATAGAGAATCATAGGAGCCCATAGAGAGCCATAGAAATCCCATAGGCACCCACTGAGAGCCATTGAGAGCCATAGAAATCCCACAGAGACCCGTAGGGACCCATAGAGAGCCACTGAGAGCCATAGGGACACATAGGAATTCCGTGGAGGCATGTAAAAATCCCATAGGGACCCATTGAGGCCGTAGAGAGACATAGGGACCCATAGAAATCCCATAGGGACCCATAGAGAGCCAGAGAAATCCTATTGGGGCCCATTGAGAGCCATAGAAACCCCTTAGAGATCCATTGAGAGCCATAGGGACACATAGAAATCCCACAAGGACCCACAGGGACCCATAGAAATCGCATGGAGACTCTCAGAAATCACATCATTCTATAGCTCTCCATGCAACTCATTGAGATGCATGGAGAGCTATAGAAGTCCCATAGGGACCCACAGAGAGCCCTAGGGACCCATAGAGAGCCATGGAGAGCCAGAGGAACACATGGAAATCCCATAGGGACCCATAGAGAGCCATACAGAGCCACAGAAATCCCATCGAGAGCCATAGAAATCCCT